GTTGTAAGTGAAGATAAGGAGGAGTTTTCTGATATAGGATAGCTTTTGAACCAGTCTAAGGGTTGGTCTTGTTGTGTTGTAGTTTGTAAATTCATTTTAGGATTATAATCGATAAAGTTTTTAAAGAAGGTTTAAAGTTGAAAATAATTTGATACTGAGATATAGAAATGCTTTTTAGAATAGTTTATAGTAAGAGTAGAGAGTTTTATAATATAGGTAGCAAAAAAGAGCAGGTGAAAAGAATAGAAATTGGATGAGAGAATTGAGTTTTTTAAGATTAACAGTAAATTTTTCAGAGAGCCAGTAAATTTTTCAGGTTCCTTTGAGAAAATTTGAAGAAATGTTGGATATTTGGATATTTTAAAGGTTTGGTAAAAGTGAAATTTCTGGGGCACCCTATAAATTTTCTGAAATTGACCAATAGAATTTCAGAAAAGAGTTTGGATAAAAGTTTAAGGAAAAATATCGATAACTTAATAAGTTTTGGTCTGTTAAAGATGAAATTTATGTTTAAATGATCATCTCAATGAGCTGAATATTTTTGTTTAATGAAAGAGAATAGGTTTGCTTAATAAAATTCGATGGAAATTGAGAAAGTGTGTTTTTTTTTTAGAAAATGTTAGTTGGTACGTAATATAATAATTTGAATTGGATAAAATTAGTATAGTTGGGAGCAGAAAGTTTAGTATATTAGTTTACTTAGAAATAAAGAGGTTTAATTAAGTATAAGTTGAAGAAATTTAAAAAGAATATGAATAAAGATAATTTTATTAAAATATAAAAGTTTGTTGTATCAAGAAATTAAGTATGAATAGATGTATATTATTTTTAGGACAGAAAGTTGTAAAAAAAAAGTTTAATTAAAAGTTTAAGAGCTGTTAGTTTAGTAAAATATTGAGAAAAGTTGAATTGTTTGTTAAAGAAAAGTTAGTTTTAGTGATCTATGAGGAGAGTTAGATGATTTGCCATTGTTTTATTATTAATTCTTTAAGTACTATATAATATACAAACTAACAATTATTTCTTAATATATTATTCTATGATAATTAGTATAGATATTATAATTAATATAAATAATATATTACAAATAAGAAGTATAATGTATACTAAATAAATAAAAATATATAATAAAGATATTTTATCATAGAGAAAAGAGAGAATAAAATAAATTTGTTTCCTATCTTCCTATATTATAAATAAATATTTATCTTTAAATCTGCTATTTAAGTTACATAAGTGATACAATCATCACTTTTGTAATCTTGCTCACATAATAATATAAAGCAGAGGTACTGAAAATTTAATTGCAATTCAATTATTATGCAATTATAACCAAGTAAAATTGTTATAAATAAAAATTACACTAAAATTAATTGCAAATAATTGCAATTTTGTAACGATATAAAGTTTTAATTTTAAAATATTGAATTTTGAAAATAAAAAAATTAATTGCATTCAAATATAGAAATATAGTAATATTATGCTATTAATATTTAAAATAATTTATACTATATACATATAAAAAAACTTTATAGTTTAATTTGATGAACATCATGGATTGATCACATTTTATTGTTCATTCATAGCAATAATAGATTTTCTAAAGTATACGGATTAAAACATTTTCTTCAGTCTGTATAGTAATATTTAGCAAGTGAAAACAAATGTTCTATAGTGTTAGATATAGGAGGAATAATGTTCATGTTCATATACATTGATTCCTCTAATTTGCATTTTTTTTTCACATATTCTTTTATAGTCATTGGACTATCATCTACCAATGGTCGTTCTACAATAAATTCTTGAAGTCTTTGTCTTTCATTGGACATTAATACAGATTCATGCTTGTGCAAGACTTTAATTACAGCCTCTTCAAAAACAGGATTATGAATGATCTGTACATCCTTTTCTAATCAGTTTTCCAAAATTGGACATTCCTCTATTAGCAAGTCAAAATAAGCATGAATATCATCTAAGTTCATAGATTCAGTTTGTAAATCATTGGTTGTTTTAGAAAAATATTTAAGATGCTTAATAAAATGATTAACTTCATTGAAATCCAATTGTTCTATTAATAAAATATTATGACCTGTATGTAATAGTATAATATAAATAAAATATGCCAACTAGCATTCTTTTAAATAAAAAAAAAAAAACAACCTAAAAACCCCTTGGTCTGAGTAACATAGAAGGCAAGTTCTTTAAATTTTTTAACTATTTTTATAACACTCATCCAACAGGTTAGATTGTCTAAAATAGGTGTTAAAAATGTTACTTTTGCAAGTTTTCCACAATTCTTATAAGTGCACATCATATACACAATTTTACGAATCTTGTTCACAAGAGTGAATGAAGAATTAATAAAATCATTAACAGCTAAATTAAGATAATGTGATGCATATTCAACTAGCAGAAGATTCAAATTACTAGCTATTTTTTGGTTGTTATTATAATTTTTTCCTGAAAGAAAAAGAACATTAACACTTTTATTATATAATTCTAGAACATCCTCAAAAAACCTAATGTGTGCATCTGCATTTTGGGTAGTACAAACCTCAAATGGCAAAAATGCCAACAAGACTAAATTCCTAGATTCATGAACAGTTTGATATATTCTAAACAACCCAACAAAGTGAATGTCATTACTCATCCATCCATCAAACATAATTCCAATTTTTTCTGATAAAATGTTTTTTATTCTTTCTTATACAACATCTGCCAAGCCACTAATATACTTGCCAACTGTCGAAGCATCCAATTTCAAGAGACTAGTATATGCAATGAAGTCGGGATTCTTATATGCATTAAGAGGTAATTGACATTTTATAATAAGATTAACCCAATTAAAAATATTAAGTACACTTGCACTATAGATAAATGTAGCAGAGTTTGCTATAGAGGCATTATTTTCAATTTGCTGTTGGTAAAACAACTTAAATTGTTTATGTCTTGCTACTAAATAGTTCATTAAATTCATATAACCTGATCCTTTTTTTTGAGTTATCAGCTGTGACCCAGGAGAGCACAAATTACAATAGTACTTGCCATCATCTGCAAGTTTAAAAAAGGCCTCTATGTAATACTTGTTTAAAACTTTTGCACTCATTGAAACTAATTTAATAATAAATATTTAAAGTGCTATTTCGATATATGTGTCTTTGAAAAGAAATGTAATTTATGCAGCTTATTAAAAAGAGAGATCGATAGCTTTGATTTTTTATTCAATTACATATATTATTTTTTTTTTAAACTACAAATTTTTGACATTAAGATTAGTAAATATATGGTTTATTACACATTTTGTATACATTTTGTGAACTCTGGCAAAAATTGCAATTAATTGATTAATAGTGGCTGCACCACTAATTAATTGATTGAGATTAAATAATTACAATCAATTGCCTTAACAATTAAATTTTTAGTATACCTGATATAAAGTATACTATTATCTTGTCCAATTGATTCTAGATATACTAAAAACTACCATACTTGTTTTCCAATATTTCCAATATATAGTAGATAGTCGAGATTATTGTATTTCAGTTTGAGGTCCAAGTAGAAGTTCCCAACTATGGTTTTAGTTATAACAATAATAGATAATAAACACAAGAGTTAGTGTATTAGTATCTAAATGTATATGTAATATTTGTTGATCTATAGTTAGCCAATAATGATTTGAGAATCTTAATTATGAATTGCTAGATAATATAAGTATTGATTATATATTAATAAATATAACAAATTCATTTAATCGATTAAATGATTAGCTGGTATTTGCCATTGTACAACACTGTTAGCTAATCATTTATCTGATTTGACAAATTTTGCAATATTGCATAGTAAAATATAACCTAGCTGTAAACATGTAAAAATGTGATTATAATCCAAACCAAGATTCTGAAATGAATCTTTCTGGATCAAGGTTCTGAACTGAAGCTAAGCTGCAAGATCTTGCATATGAAAAAGCATTTAATAAAATGATATATTGGGTTTAGCTTAAGGCAAAGCTTATTAAGAACAATTGAATAATAATTTTATATTATAGTTATATAAATAATTTATTATAGCTTGTAAATTTCCTTCTAATACTTAATTTAGTTAGACTGTATCAAAGTCTTTACTATATTTCTCTTATATAAAAGTCTTATAATTTCTGTTGATAAAAAGACAATTAAGTAGAAATTGAATATTAATAAAGATATATCTTAAATCTAGGATCTTAGTGACAATAGGATTCTTGTTTCTTAAATCAAATCTTTCATACTTTTTTTTCAAGTTGCTTATATCTTTGTATTATATTTGTTATGCTTTAACTATGAGAAATTTAATAATCCCAAATCTACTTACACAATAATTAGTAATAATTATAAGATTGTGATAACCAAAACCTTATTAGCCAATATTTGAAAAACACAAAAAAAAAAAAATTGAACCTAAAATTCTATTAATCTAATACTATACCAGTCTTTTAGTTTAAATTAACTATGTTTGAATTTCTTATTAAAAGATCAAAGTAAGAATAAGACTTGTAAATATAGAAGAAATGTGTTCAAATTCTTCAAGTTATTTATAAACAAACATGAAAAGAAGAAAACTACATTTGAAGAATTGTGTAGAATACCTCATCATTAAAATTATTGTAAGAGATTAACAAAAAAAAATAATAACATAATAATAACAAAAAAAAAAAAAAAAAAAAAAAAAGAATCCAAAAGCTGATACTTTCTTAAACAAAGCCCTTGTACAGTCTATAAATATACAATATATATATATATATATTTCAATTAATAATAAAATAACAAATAAATAAAAAAGAAATCTATAATAATAGTGATCATAATTACCTTATTATTAAAGTACTCTATTATAGATCTCATACTAACTTTAATATAAATAAGAATAAAAATCTGATTATTAATTGTCTTTTTACTTTAATAAGAATAATTAAGAAAAAAAAAGAATAACAAAAAATTTTTTTTTTATAAATATCTACTGAAACTATGAAACCCCAACAATCTAACAACTATAGGACTTTCTTCAATATTCTTGAAGATAATAATTTATTAACTTTTAACAATAACTGTTTCTTTAAAAGTTATTATATATTTGTAAACAGCTCTTTACCAAGTAGAAACAATTAAACTAATGATAAAAAACAAGCTTAAGTACAAGATTCAGACATCTTTGAATTAATTCTGCAGAAATCAATACTAAATTTAAAGAAGTAGCTATAGAAGTTGTTACTGTTACTAGACTTTCTATTTGTAAAACCAATTTAGTTTGTGTAGACACTTTTTATACAAACAAAGAAGAAGACCCTCTTGAGTTTATAAAAGCCTTTGATTATACAGCCAACACTAATAATTGGTCCTCTGAATGCAAAATAAAAATAGACTCTGATTATCTACACAAAATTGTCACAAGTTGGCATGATGAAATAAAGGATAACCTAGTATATTGGAATAGATAAATCTGTTCAAATAAAGGTTTTGTTTAATTGTTCATCTAGTACTTTGTGATTACTAAAAAATAATACAAGTGACAAATTGACTTAAATGAATTAAGAATAGAATCTGATATAGAGATTGAAACCAGTTTTATTTATAGAACCCAGTTTTAATCTTTTACTCAAAATTGAACCCAGTATTAAACCAAATTTAAATAAACTCAAATAATTTATTTTTGTGTTTTAACAAATTCACAAAACTGGATCAACCCAAATCTAAATAAAACAACAAAACTAAATCAATATAAATTTGAATAAAATTAAATAATTTAATTTTGCAATAATAAATTTATAAACTAAATCAACCTGAATCTGAATAATAACTAAATAATTTAAATTTGCAGTTGTAAAAAACAAATTTAAATATATAAATTCTTAGCATTCTCTTTTATATAAAGATAATTAGTACTATGTACACTAGGTATATATAATAAATTTATATTACAAATATTAATAGTATTAAATTACTTCAAAATTATAAATATCTTCTACTAATGTAAACTGAGTAATTTAAAACAAGTCTTAATAAATATTATCTGAAAAAGTTATAACAATGTAAAATATTACCATTATAGAAAATAGTATAAACAATAAATTTCTTGTAAATTATATAAAATGTTCTCAAAGTCTCAAGAATTTCTCATTATTAAATACTATTAGATATTTATTTTAGTATTTTAAATTAATTCAGATGTTTTAAGCATAAAAATCTTGACATTACAAGTTATTGTTAAACTTTAAATATTTTTACAAAAAAATCAAAAGATCTTTTTAGAACCAGAAAGGTCTTAAGTGTAATTGTACTAAGTAGTTCAGTAATATTTATATAAATAAAGCTATCATCATTATTTTATTATCATAATTTTTATATAATTATATTATAGAAAAATAATGAAAAGCTTACACAATATAAATGAAAAGTTACAAAAATAACTAATATAAAAAGAACTGCTTAAATGATTAATATCTGCACTTTTTTCTTTATCAAATATCTAATTCAAATATTTAATATTTTTTCTTGATCCTGATTTCACATTCTTCTATGCTACCATACTTCAAACAAGTAGAAAATTACTAACTAATCTCACTTCTTGTTTGGTCTACTGTTACAATAATATCTAATGCAATTATACTTGCTAATCTTTTAGAAACACATTATTGTTTTAGTTCAAATTACTTAAAAATTATTAATAATGATTAATTCAATATATTTTGTAGACTTAGAGTGTTCTCAAGCACTTAAATCAATTGGCTAGAAATAAAATTTATATAATCAGATGTCAAAAAATTGATTAAGTAAATTGTTGCTTTATTAAAAAATGGTAGATGCAAATTATCTTTTTTTATTGAGTTAATATTAATTAGCTAAAACTACTTATTGATAAAGTAAAAAAAGAAACTATTTAAACATTTTGCTTTATGTTATAGATCTTTAGTAAAACTGTAATCATTAAAAAAATATTATATTGCTTTTATATTAGAAACTTTTATTGATAATAAAAAAACCCAAAGGCCATTATGCTAATATCTTTAAACTTTTATATTAAGTGTAGCAATTTTATTTATTTTTTTTACTAAAAAACTTTTTGTATTCAAATATCTTATTATTGTTTGTGTTAGTTTTGTTTAAAGCTAAAAATGCAAATTGTAAGTTTATAAAAAAGAAATTGAGACACTTGATATTACTAAAGTTAGATTTATTTGTTAGAGCATTGTCAAAAAAGTTGTATTGGATAGTTATATTTTTTTTACTACAATTTGCTAAAAACATAATAAATAAAACAATAATAGTCTGCTTAAATAATAATCACAATTATTATTTTAATTAATTAATAATTAAGCATCATTTTAAATTATATTAAGGGAGTTGCTTAAGGATGCTTTTAGTTTTATTATTTATAATATATAAAAAGATATATTATTATTGATTAAATAACAATCTGAATTACTTTTCATTATAAATATTTGTAAAATTTATTAGTAAAAAAATATTTTTAAGCAATATATAGTCAGACCTCTCTGTATTTATACTTGTTATAAGTATATTATACAAAAAACCTTTATAATTATATTTATTTAAAAACTAATTATATATAAATATATTAAAAAAAACTCTCTATAAGTACATCTTAATAAAAATCTTTTTATAAATATATAAATCTTTGTTTCAAAGGATGTAATTATAGAAAGATCTTATTGTACTAAAATTAAAACTATTTTCTTTATATATATAAACCTAATAAGCAATAGTTATTTTATAGTTTCTCAGATTAAAATATTCTAAAATACTTACTGTTTCTTTTTAAAAACAAAATCTAATTAACCAAGTCTAGAGATAGTTGAGTATGCTTTGTAAAGATATAATTATTTGTATTTGAGAACAATCTCTTACTGGGTATAGATGTATTAAAAATTGATAGATATTTTAGTACAAATAGTAACAAAACTAGAAACTCATTTTTTTACATTCTATTACTCTAAAGAATTCTAATTAACATCTATTTGTTAACATTTTGTACATATAATATATAACTTCATTCTTCTCAGTTAAAATTGAATTGCCTAATTTTTTACATTCTAATGCTTAAAAAAATTATCATTATTATTTATACAATTATGAGTAGGTGTTGTTTGTTGAGTTGGTTGAGTATGAATATCTGTAGTTTAAAAATTTTTTGCAAAATCATTTTGAATTTACAACTATTTAATTAATGCATCTTTTTATTTATCTGTATTATCCTATTTAAAATCTTTAAACAAAGATTGTATATTGTAGCAATTTAAACCAAATCAGATAGTACTGACCACAACTTATTAAGTGATAAAAAAATAGTTGTTCAAACTTTTTTAAAAAGATCATTAGTATTGAGCTGATAAATTTTCAATATTATTGAAGTCATCTATATCTTTTTTAAAATTTTTTTTTCTAGCATCTTTTTTATATCTATAGAAATTATTTGCTTTTTCTTTGCCTTTTTTACTTTTTTTTTCTTTAGTTAATCACATTTTTTGTTTAAATTAGTAATGAGCAAATTGCTAGTGTTAATATGAACCACCAAATAAAATTTTATCTTCTTTATTTGTTGAACTATCGAAATCTTCTATTTTTTTATTTTTACTTTTATTTTGTGATCCATATATCAAATTGAGATACATATTATAAATTTTCTTAGTTTTATAGTTAAATGCAAATAAATTTTTTAATAATTTTATATAAAAATAAATAAGACTTAAAGTACAGTATTCTGTTTCACATATTTATTGTATTGTTTTTCAAATAGTGATAAAAGTTTTATTGCATCTTGAAGAAATCTTTTAAAAAAAATAAAAAATAAAAAAATAAATTAGTTACAGTTAATTTAAAAATTAGTAAAACATATAATGAATTTTGTGATAATTGACAGTAAATTTTTAGTAATTATACTTATTAAAAATTTTTTGCATTTATTGGTAATTATGATTTTAGCTGCAATACAATTTTTTTTTGTAATACAATTTTTATATTTATTAGTATAATAATAACAATTTGGTAACACAAATACAATATTACAATATTTACTTTTATTTAGTTATTGCTCTAATTCTTTTTCTATTAGTTTAGTATATCTGGTATACTCAAAAATTTATAATAAAAACTGTCTTTGTTAACTGATAAAGCTTAATTAAAAAAGCAAAAAGATAGTAAATATTAAATAAATTTCATTATAAACACATTATACATACAAGCTAATAAATAAAAAAAAATGTTCAAGCATTTGTAAATTGTTTTCAAAGTAAAATATCTAAATTAATGTTTTAAATCAAAACCTTATTAATATTTGTTTGAAGTGTATAAAAAATTATAAAAATGAGAAAATTTTTAAAATTTTTTCTATATTTATAATTTATTGTTATTTTTATAAATTATAAATATATTTATAATTTAGATTAAATAAAATCAACACAAATCAAATAAAAATATTAATATTATAGATGATATTATTGAATCTATAGATTTAATAACTAAATAATTATTTACAACAAATTTTTCTATATCATATAATTTACTTGATATCAATAATTAATTAGTGGTAAAAACTCTTATAACAATAAAAGTTCCTGCAAATACACCCAATGGTAATAATATATATATATATTTTTTATATATTTTATAATATATAATTTTTTAATTTATTTGTTTATTATAATTATTTATTATTTTAATATTTATTACATTGGTATATTATAATAAATTTAAAAAATCTTATAAAAAATTAGATAGTGCATTGGCTATTCTATTTAATTCTGTTAATATTACAATATTTAAAAACATTAAAAAATAAATTTTATCATATACACTTTCTAAACAATAGGAAAAAATTAAATTTAATCATATTTGCTATTAGATTTTAAATACTTCTATAGCAAATTACTATAATTTAAAGTTTGATAATGCAATTAAAATATTTGTAGCTAAGATAAAGTATAAAAACAATTTACAATTATGTGTTTATTAAGAGCCAAAAAAATAAGAAGATACATTATAAAAAATTAAATCAATCAAATAAAAGAATTTATATAAGTTATTTTTTGTATATTTAAATAAATTAATAATTATAAAATTAAAATCTGTTTATTAAATTATTAGATACTTGAAACAGATTTAAATGCTGTAGCTTCTTTAAATACTATCAAAAAAAAATATTTATAATAATCTTCTAGCTTGTTTAATACATATACAATAATATTTAATTTTAGATAATAATTAGTATTTAAAGTTAGATAATAATGCAATAATATTATGAGCATATATAATTGTAGGTTATTTAATAATTACAATTAAAAAATAATAAAGTTTTAAAATTTTAATAATATTAATATATATTGTTAAGTTTCTTAAATGAAAGATGTTGATAAAAAAACTTTACCAAATTCAATAAATCAAAATATTGATATCAATAACAAATTATTTATGTTTATTAAAC